TCTCCCTCCTCTTTCCTCCCGCTCCTCCTCTCTCCTCCTTCTCCTCTGCCTTCTCCTCCCTCTCTTCCTCCTCTCCTCCCTTCCTCCTCTCCTCCTCGCCCCCCTCCTCCTCTTCCTCCTCCTCCTCTTCCTCCTCCTCCTCCTTTTCCTCCTCGTCCTCGTCCTCGTCCTCCTCGTCCTCCTCCTCATCCTCCTCCTCCTCCTTGTTCTCCTCCTCCTCCTTGTCCTCCTCCTTGTCCTCCTCCTCCTTGTCCTCCTTCTCCTCCTCTTCCTCCTCATCCTCCTCCTCCTCCTCGTCCTCCTCCTCATCCTCCTCCTCCTCCTCTTCCTCCTCCTCCTCGTCAGATGAGGAAACTGAGGCTCAGAGAGGCGAAAGGACCTGCCCAAGCCCCGCAGCTGACGGTGGTGGGGACGGCGACTCAACCCAGGGCCCACGGATCCAAAGTCCGCGCTCTCCACCTCCGTTCCGTGCACCGACAGGGCCACTTGTTCCTGGACACGTTTCGATTGATTCCTAGTTGAAATGACTATTTTCAGTGGCTCTCAAATGTGAGCAAACATCAGATGCCCCCCTGGCGGGTTTCTTAAAACCCCGGTGGCGGGAAACCGCCCCCCAGGTTCCGGTTCACTGGGTCTCAGCGGGGCCAGAGCGTCTGCACAGCTGCAGGCCTCCGGGAGAGGCTGCGGGCGCTGGCTGGAGACCACACGTCGGAAACCACTGGTCTCTGTTCGTAACTCACTTTCAGGTGGTGACGAGCATCACGCTATGGACACGCCCTCCGCTCTGGACCAGGGCTGCTGCTCTGCCACTCACTGCTGGGTGGCCTTGGGGGAGTCCCTTGCCTCCTCTGGGCCCAGGGTTCCCACCTGCACAGTAACGGTTTGGATACTGAGTCCTCCAGGTAAGCCCGACAGAGAGGGGAAGAAATGGGTTGGGAGCCAGGTAGACTGAGTCTGACTTTTGAGTCTACGGAGCTGTGTGACCTTGGGCAAGTGACTTAACCTCTCTGAGCTTCAAGTTACTATTTGCAACATGGAAGAGTTAGATTTGATGGCTTCTAAGTGTAAGCATCACTGAATTAAGGGTTTGAGGATGGTGGGGAGAGGAAGGTGAGGGTCTGGGACTGATCAGATGACGGGGACATGTTCCCCGACCTGCCCATGCGTTTGAGGCCCAAAGAAGAGCGGGTCTCTCTCCTCCTCTCCCTCCCTCCCTCTTTCCCTCCACTCTCCTCCCCTCCTCTTTTCCTTTCTAAAAATGTTATCCTAGGCAGTCTTGGACTGGGCTGTGGATTCAGACGGACCCGGGGCCGGTCCTGTCTCCGTCAGCACCCGCTGGGTGCCCGAGGCCGAATAACTTCCGCCCGGTGGCCCGGCACCCTCCTCTGCAAAACGGGCAAGTGACACCTCTCCTGGCATCCTTGACGGTTTGCACGATTTACTCCACGGAAGCACACGGTAGTGGGGGGCCGTGCACACAGTGGGCGCTTCTGTTACTTCTTGAGTCTTCAGCCAGACTGTCTGGTTGGAATCCCAGCCGTGGCACCTGCTGGCTATGTGTTCTTGGGCAAATGACTTAACCTCTCTGTGCCCAAATTTCCTTCTCAGTAAAATGTGGGTAGTCATAATACCTACTTTCTTGGGTTGCTGCGAGGATTGATGAGATCCCAATCGCCCAGTAGGATGCCCGCTGTCAGCCGTTTTGGTCATCCCCCTGCAAGGAGAGAGACACTCTCTAACGGGCGAGGACACCCTGCATCAGCGTTGTGACAGGGTGAGCCGCTGGGGCAGAGGGGAGCAGACCCCAGAGGGCCAGGAAGGGCTTTCCTGGGAGGGACCTCAAAGCTGAGACCTGAAGAGGAAGCAGGGGCCATCGGGCCACAAAGAGGGCAGGAACAGCACTGAGGTGGGAGGAACAGCGCTCGCTCACAAAGCCCTGGGGTGAGAGCGAGCCGGTCTCACAGCCAGTCTGGAGCTCGAGTCCCTCGCTGGGAGCAGGCTGTCCCTCCCCCAGCAGCCTGGGGCCGCATGTGCTCCTGGTTTGCGCCGAGACAGCGGGCACGGCTCCCAGCTGCGCTCGGCTGCCAGAGGGGCCGGTCGTCCCCAGTGGGTCTGGCCGCCACCCACGAGCCCCGTCCCCGGCTGGCAGGGGCAGCCTCTCCTGGCGGCCCCCGCTCCCTGCAGCTGGCGCCCCCGCCCTCGGTCAGCCCAGTTTCCTGCCCCTCCCTCCTCTCGCCTCCTTCCAGCTGTTTCTCTGGCTGAGTGCTGTCCCCGTTGCACTCAGGGCAGCAGCCCCAGCAGTGAGCGGGGAGCTCGGGGCAGAGCGGGCTCCCTGGGAAGGCTGCCACGGGACAAGCGTGTTCCAGGGGCTGTGCCACCCGGGGGCCTCCGGGGGGGTCTTGAATGAATGAATGAATGAATGAATGAATGAACAAACTGCTCTCTGGGACAACAGCTGCAGCCAGAGGAACCGTGTGCTTGGGAGAAAGAAGCTGGGAAAGCCACCAGGAACCAACGGGAAGACCGTCCGGGCGAGAAGGTATCACGTTTGCCTTTCGTGTCTTCCAGAGGGGCCGGGGAAGGGGAACACCAGCAGAGAGAAAAGTTCGATTCTTTTTATAATTTAACATTTGTCCAAAGGAAAAGAGTTTTCTTGCTGTTTTCAAATTTCAAAAGTCATGCATGTTCATCGTAAAAAATAGCGAGCACACACATGTGGGTATGTACATGTGGATGCCCACCTCTGGTTGGGTGACCTGCTTTCTTCTTAACCACGGATCGGGGGACTTCCTTCCGTGTCATCTGTGTTTCTCCGGTATACATTCTCGCGGCTGCGTCGAAAGGATGTTTTGGAATGCATTTAACCCTTTCCCGCGGAATTGGCTTCCACTTTTTCTCACCATTATAAACCAGTGCTGCAATGAACACTTTGATCTAGTATGTCCCCTGTGTGCGTTTGTCCTATGGACACCTTTCAGAGACGAAATTGCTGGGTAAAAGGTTTGCCTGTTTTTAAGGCTTTCTTTTGAGCCTCCTTGGCCACATTGTCCCTTGGAAGGTTGTGCCAACTTGCACTACGGAGTTGTATTGGGGTATGATAGTTGCACACCCTCACCCATGTTGTTGCGGTCGGTCCATGCCTCAAACTGGTGCGACGTTGAGAATAATAGCTAGATGCTTCAGTTTGCATCTCTTTATTAATGTCGATTCTCTTTTTATAAATGTAGCGTTCACTTTTCTTGTGCGACTGTTCTGTTCAAGTCTGTTGCCATTCGTCTTTCCTGTTGGCATGGGTTCTTTGTACATGAAGGATACAAACGCTTTGCCAGTGCTCTCTGTTGAAAATACCCCACCACTCCCCTGTGTCTTCAGACTAGCACATTTTAAGTGGGTTAGCCACAGAAAGCAGCAACTTTGTTGGCAAAATTACAAATTATACATGGTGATGATCAAGTAACTGCTACTCGATGTGAGACTTGTGTGGTTCAGAGAAGCCAGGTCACTGGTCTGAGGTCACACAGCAATTCCATCAAAAAAAAAAAAAAAAAAGAGCCCCCAACTTCTGTTTCTGTATCCTCTACCTCCTTTTAAAGACCAGTCTTCTCTGGGGGTCGTGCTGTCTCTCCTGCCCCCTCCAAACTGGCTCGAAGGAAGGATTGCTCCTAATGCCTTTGCTGCCGATGCAAATAAGGATGGGGGTGGCCTGGAATTTTCTTAAGAAGGAAAGTTTAACCTAAACCAGTGGCACTCAAATGGTGAGCTGCCAGGCACTTGGGAGGTCCATGGCACTAGTGACTTCCTGGTGCACAGGAGCCTTCTCTGGACTCCCCTAAAACTTCAGGGAATGGATGAACTTGACTTTGGGCAAGTCACTTCTCTCTCTGGCTTGACACCTTCCCAGAAGTCTCCCATCCCCACTGGGTCAAGGCCTGTCCCCTAGGATCCCCCAGGGCCTGTACTTCGGTCCCCTGCATAAGAACTTGGATCTATTAGATTCACTGCACAGTGTTGATTGAATAAATAAAATACTCAGGCCTCAGTTTCACCATCCATAAAATGGGGTGGGGAGGAGTTCCGCTAAAGTTCCATGTCTTAGATGTTTACTTAATAACTCCTCTCAGTTTGCAAACCACTTTATCAAGACGGTTTTCTTGGACTGCCACTGTGGCTGTGTGACAAAGGTACTATTAAGATGCCCCTTTTGCAGATTAGGAAACTCGGGCCTGGAGGGGGACCTGGTACTAGACCTCTACGAGAGGTGATCAAACACTGCGGCTCTGGTGGTGGGTTTGGACTGGCCTGCCACATGCCAACTGGGTGACAAGGGATAAGTTATTCCTTATCTTTGGGCCTCAGTTTCCTCATCTATAAAATGGGAATAGGAACAGTAAATGCCTTATAAGATCATTGTAAAGAGTAAATGAGGTTATGCACCTAGAGTGCCAAGCAGAGTTTGTCTTATAATAAGGGCTCTATAAACATTAGCTATTATTCTCATGGTCGTTTCTATCCAATCATGCTGTCTACACCTGTGACACTTGTGGGCCATAGAAATTATTATTGATTTCTTTAGTGTATTCTTAATGCTCAGATTCATGCTCACATTAATGCTCAGATTATCAATGCCCACCAGTGTGTTAGAAAACCAAAAGCCCATTTCATCCTCTTTGAGCTACTCGGCTCCGGTGCGGTCATTACTGCCAGTTGCAAAGCGACAATACTTGGAACCTCTCAAAGTGCAGTCTCGGGACCACTTGCACCACGATAATCACGAGGGCTCCTTTCAGCTTCAGATTTTGGAATCAGAGTCACCTAGAGTTGAGTGTCGAACCAGCTCCTGTGCAATTCAAACGTACCCCGGAACTTGAGATCCACCGATCTGGAGGACTTGAAGGTCTTTGCTTTTTTGTGCTTTGCTCATGACACGGTTTCGGGTTCTTTGCTGCACACTGAGGTTTCTTTTTCCTTTCTAAGTAAATATTCACGTGCTTCTGTGAATCCACATGTTCTGTGTCAGCAACCGAGGCCACGTTGCGTAGTGGAGAAGTGAAACTGCCTTATAGGACCACAGAAAGTCAGACCGTGGTAGCAATCCCCCCGTGTGAGGGCTCTGAAATTATTTAAGCCACGGGATCTTTTCCTCCAAGGAAAGTCTATGGGGAAGTGCAGTTCGAGAGCAGGTAAAAGTGGCATCATTCTCGTTGGAGGAAAAAGGTAGGGGGACTCCAGGCTGCAGCTCGTTACGCCTGACTCTTGTCGCTGCACAGCCTCTAAGAATCTTTGTAGCTTTGCAGGCAGGCTGAGAACCACAAATCTGCTCCAAGGAGTTAGGAGACCAACGTTCTAGACCTCTGATGAACTTGCTGTGTGACGTTAGGTGAGGTGGCCCCACTCTCTGGCTCAAATCGTCTCATCTGTAAACAAGGACATTGAACTTTTACCAGTTGGGGTAGCAGCTGCAGTAACAAATAGCCCCCAAATGTACAGCGGCCCAAACAAGACAGACGTTTATCGTAAGGCAGGTGTTTCTGAACAGGGGTGTTTCTTTTCGCTGCAGCAATTCAGCGGCTCATCCGGTGGCCCCACGACCCCCCGGACAGCATCATTGTCTGCAGGGGAGGACAGGAGGCATGGAGGTGGCACGTTTGTTTACCTGCCTGGCCTGGAAGTAGCCAGAGTCACTTCTGCTCCCACCTGAGCCCTGTCCCATGGCCAGGCCAGTTGCAAAGGGCGCTGGGACCCGGCGTTCTAGGCCAGGGCCACCTGTGCCCACCTGTTGCTGTGCACTATGGATGGGGACAGAGGGTCTTTGTGGACAGTTTTCTGTCTCTGTCACAATTACGGTGGCCTCTGGGGTCTGTTCCATCCTTTGAGTCGAAGCCTACATTTTCTTAAAATTAACATGGTGGTGTTGGGCCCACAAATACGTCCCTATCCTCAAGGTCATTCCCATCCAATATACAGTGTAAACTCCCGGATCCCAGGCCCCTGAGCACGGATTTCTCTGGAACAAGGGTAACTGCCACTCTCTTTCCCTCCTGGAAGAAGGAAACAAGAATAACAATTGTATTGCTCACGTCCCAGTTAAGTTGAAGATATTCGTATCCATCATCTCATTAAATCCCCCCTGTGTGGAAGGGCTTCAGGACTATCAACCCATTTTATAGATGAGGAAAATGAGGCTCAGAGAGGTAAAGGGGCTTGCCCAAAGTCACACGGCTTATAAGAGAAAGAATTAGGATTTGAACTCAGAAAATCCTATTCCTGTCCTAGGGTTTCTATTGCACATGGGGATGTTTGTGTGTGCGTGTGTGCATGCGTGTGTGTGCATGTGTGTGTGTGTGTGTGTGTGTGTGTGTGTGAGTGTGGTTAGGGTAGGGGTTTTCCTTGGGCTGGACTCCCCCAGGGACGGGTACAGGGGACGAGGAAGCTCAGGAATCGTTGTGCGACTCCCCAGAATGGGCCAAGGAGGTCGGTTGTAAGGTGGCTGGCGGCCGGCCTGGGGCGCGGAAGCCCAGCGTGACTACACACGACAACCGCCGGCCGTGAGAAAGAGGAGGGGTGGCCCCTGAGGGTGTCGGTGGCCCTGGATGGCACTGAGGCCTCAACAGGGCCGGGCACCTAGCAGTGCCTGGGACCCATTTCCTGTGTGGCCAAAGCCCGGAGGCGAGGGGCTGCGTCGACATGAGGGGTGACAGGCATCAGGCCCGGCCCCTGTCCCTGAGGCCCTCACGATAAGGCAGACGGGATGCCTGCCCTCCCAGAGCTTCAGAGGGGCCACGGGGAGTTACATTTGTGCCCATTTTCGAGACGAGGAAAGTCGAGGCCTTGATTGGCCAAGGGACATTCCCAAGGTCACTTGCTGGCATGAGGACCCCCCGGCTCCTGATTTCCGGTCTGGGGCTCTTTCCAGGCCCTCTTCTGAGGAGGAGGGTGTAGGCCAGGCCTGGGATGCAGGGAAGGGACCCTGCCATTGGCAGCCACTTTGTGCTGCTTCCGGACTTGGGGCATTCTGGTTTCAGGCAGTGTCAGGAAACCAGTGCATTTATTTCTCGTTGGAACAAACCTCTAGATTTTTGCCGGATGGGCACAAGTATGACGGAGAAGGATTAGCATTTCCTGCGCTGCTGGTCGGGACCGGGAGGCAGGACTTGCACGCCGCGGTGCTATCCAAGAGAGAAACGTTAATGTCTGGGTGGTGCCGGCTGGCAGCACGCCGGGGTGGTGCCGACGGAGTCTCGAGCCAAGCGCCCTGGCGTTCAGATCCCGGCTCTGCACTCTGCTTCCCGACACCCTGGGCTTGCTCATTCGTACGGAGGGCAGGCCACGCGTGCCCGCTCCGCAGGGTGGCGGCGGGATTAAATGAGATAACACACACAGAGCGCTAAGTACGGCACGCGGCCACCTCGATGAAGGCATTTCTCTATTTTTATTGTCAGGAGGGTGGGCTGTGAAAGTTGCCTCCGCACACCTGGCTTGGTGTGGGCATTTGTTGACTTGTGGCCTTGGGTTCCCAGGCTGGAAAGGATCCTTCTGGGC